CTTATTCCCTCTCCTAAAAAGCACTCAGGAATTATTTCAAAAGCGACACAAGTTCCGCATGTGAGGGTGTCAGGACCACTTAAAGCAGTGGGGATTCAGCAAACCTGGGAGCTGAGAGCCTGAACCTGAGACCCTTAAGGCACACCAGCTCATTACTGCTCCTTGCTGCCACAGGTGAGGACCCACCAGTTTCACATGGATTTTGTTTGCCTTGACTCAAGCTGCTGCTGAAGAGCAGGGCTTCATGCTTTGGGGACTTCTGGCATTTTCCTCAAGGCCAGGTAATGTGGTCACAACTTAGACATCTGGTCACAGGCCTGCAGAGATGCGAGAGATGCATTCTCCTTGCAAACAAGAGGAACATTGAATTTTTGCAATGGAGTGCCTCATCTGAGCTCAAGACCAAGCTAGCAGTCAGGGTGCAATACTCAGAGGTTGCATGACCTTTTCTTTGACCTATCAAGAACACAATGGAAAAAAAAGACCTGTCCTAGGTGGTTCCTGTTGAGCATCCTCCTCTGTCTATATCATTCCTTAGGAGACAATCTATTCCTAATCACTGTTGTACAACACTATAGGATACTCACATAGCTCATGTACTGCATTTAAATATATTGTACAATTTAGTCTATTTCTATACAGTGTTATATAGTATATTATGAGACATGGTACCAACAGATAAGGGACAGCAAGGATAATCTCCTCTAAGTGTAGTTTTCCTGTCTGGAAACTTGGAGCAGATGACAAGTATTCTCTGTTCCTTTTGTTCCTCACCAAGATGGACTCCCTTCCTGCCTTCAGCAGACTCACACTGCTGGGAGCTTACATATGTCACCTCTGTAAAACATCATCCTGAGGCAATAGTCTTTGACATACTAAGAACTATATTGCTTATCTTAATTTGCTTGCTAAATTATGTTTTGTTAATCAATAAATCCTCATGGTACCTTGCATGATCCCTTGAGGCTGATTCAATGCAGGTATAATTTGTTTTGGAATCACTTTTAGTCCTATTGTTTAGTAATTAAATGCAAAATGGTATTGGGCTTACCTTATTTTTGGTAGACAGTTTCCCATCCTTCCACTGGATCTCTGCACCCTTTGGTAGCCAGTTTTGGTGTGGTTTCCTTGCTGGCTGAATTGTTTCCTGTACTGGCTGTTTTACAGAATGAAACTCAGTGACCAAAGCAGTAGGTTATCTCACTGTAAGTGGATGCAGCAGTCAGATGTTGTGCACCTAAAAAAACCAAAAACCACCCCAAAGCCTCCACTGCAGGCAAACATTAGTAAGTGGGGGTGGGAGAGGAAGAGAGGTGGAATGGATGAGTGCTGTAGCTTCCTGGGGTGCTGGGAAGAGCTGGTGGCCTCCACAAAGTGACTAAAGTGTTGCAGAATGGACTCCCCCTAGGTTCTGTAGTCTGAAATAGCAATTTATGGCTATTTTGACAAGAGGAAACCACATGCCTAGCCATCTTGCGCTTCTGAGAAATGCTGTGACAAACTGAATGGTATACTTCAAACCACAATGAAGTACAGCCTTTGCTACTGAAGCTTCCCAGCGCACTCTTTTTGTGCTTCTTTGTCTCATTTTGTCCTTTTAAAAAAAAACTATTACACTTTTATTCCTTTTTCTTTCTCCCAAGCTACAAAGAAAGAAAAACAGAAGAACCAGAAATATAATTTGCACATCTTTTTGGCTGGGGAGGAAGCAAGTTTTAGTTGACACATTGTAATTGCTGTACATTGCCGGAAAAAAAAAAAAAAATCTCTTTAAGACTTCAGGTGTCTGCAGCCCTTTCATCAAACCTCAGAGGTAAGAAGTGTCAGGCAGTTAACAGAACATTCTAAGAACAAGTGCTGTCCCCTGTGTGAAAAACGCCAATCACTTGTTTTTGAAATTTTAAAAGTTTAATAGTAGGAATATAATCAGAATAATAAAGTTTGGACAACTGAAATTAGGACAATATGAGACAATAAAAACAAAGAGATACGGATGTCCGGCTGGGAACGTGGAACAGTTTTGCAGATAGAGGTACACCACCATGGGCTAGGTCTCCGCTAAGTAGCCCCCTCCTTTGTTTCTGTTTTGCACTTTGCTAAGCAGTCCAACACCAGGGTATTAGCAGAGGGAGGGAGCCCAGTTTGGAGAGAGATCACATACCTCCAGTTCAAACATCACAAGGATAAACAGCTGTGTCTCTGTATAAATTACCCTTGTGTGCTCTGAACTGAAACAGGTGCACAAACACAACAATTCGTCTGTAACCCTGCCCAAATGAGCAGCATAGGTCCTGCAGCATCCCATGGCTTTGAACTGCCACAGCCTGCTCTGGTGCTATGCCAGGGGCTGGAGCAAACATTGGTAGAGGCAGCTACTGTCCTTACCTGAGTGTACTGCAGCTCTCCAAACTCAACTGAGATGCAGAGTTATTTACCATATGCAGGCACAACTGAAACATGTTATAAAGTTCCAGACCTGTTCAATTGCATTCGACAAGCTGCTTCCCAACAGTGCTACCTACAATTAGAGCTGAGAAACCAGCCTGCAAAAGTCACTGCAATTCAGGAGTCAATGAAACCCTCTCCACCTGTTTTGTTCTCTTTACAGGCAGTGTCTAGAGAGGTGGCACTGGATCCTTCTGACAAGGTAGGCAGACATCCAGTTGTTAACCTGGGCTTGGATGGCTGAAAAATAGTGGTTTAGCCTGGTAGTTGACAAATCAGTGTTTTAGACTATAATTGTGCCTGAGTGACTTCCCTTGGCAATGTTTTCTGGAAGTTCAGCTATATGAATTATAAATGGCATTAGTCACTTGGTCTGTGGGGAAATGGTGGCATTTCATGACTGTGCAATTCTTGTATGTCCTTTTTTAAATTTACTCAGAACAAAAGAGAACATCCTGGTGAAACTGAAAGGAAGAAAATAATATAAATCACTGTGCTTTTCAAGCCGTAGCTGCAGAACTACTTCCGCCTAATTTATCCCAAAGCTTTCACTGTCTTTGGAATGTGACTGAAGCTCAGGCATGGTGTCCAGTTCTCAGAAATGAGGACGTTGTGCAACTGGAGCTGGAGAGCATGGCATTTTACTGGCAAGGAAGAAGGTCTGTAATCCACCAAAAGTCTATGCAAAGATGAACAGAGCAGCCATTCATGCACTTAAAGATACATTCACAAATTTCAGATAAGTGGTTGCGTTAATGGATCTCACATTATGAGTAAAATGTTGTGTTTAAAGCGATTAATCAACTGCTGGTGTTGTCTGGTCCCTGGAGAAAGGGGAGTGGTTTGACAGAGATGCTGCAGCAGCTGGATGTGCATGCAAACACTGACTCATGAAGGCTGTTAGGGAGGTCCCTGCAGGCTCAGGTTCCCTGTGGCATCAGGAGCTGCCAGAGGAAAAGCAGAGCTTGGAAGGAGCAGCCAGCATACACAGCTCTTTCTCACCAGGGATACCATAACAACTTAAAGCAAACAAATTTTTCCCACTGGCAGGGCCACCTCTGTCCTTTGCTAAGACTGAAAGTTTGCTCTTCATTGAAAAGTGTTTCCTCTAGCAGCACACAGTTTTTACGGGTTCTGGAAGATCAGAGTGTTGCTGAGAGAAAATAAGTTAGTTAAAGCTGATAAGAATATTTCCTACACACCAGTTGGGCTTGCAATTCTTTTTCAAATCAAGTGCAGCTTTTGTGATTGCTAATTAGTGATTCACATTTTCATCAGGCCAGAATGCCCTTCCAGAAACTTTGCAGGAACTATGCAAGTAACTCAAGGAAAGGAAAATAAGATATCTCAAAGGAAAAAGACAATAGTATGAAGCAAATGCATTTTTCAGACTTATGGGAATGAATTCTTGAACCTACTCAAAAGCACATCCAAAATGTTTCTTTAGAGGAATACTGATACTTGTGCTGCTTTTGTTTTCAGATTAGTTGCCACTAAGGAGAAAAGGAATCATAAATGTGAAAGCATGTTTGAGAATTTTTTGTGTAACTTTATGGTTTGGGCCTGCTGGCTTGTAACTGATTTGCATAATTTGAGGCTAATCTGTGTGGCCATTCAACTGAGGGAAAACATTTTATTAGCAATCATAGTCATTTGTAGTAGTAATAATTTGCAAAAAATGTAAGCCACCTCATCAGAAATCAGAAATGTGAAACACAATTTACCAGTAGAAGTTTGATTAGCAAATGAGGTCTCATAGTATGGCTGCCCCACTGTGCCACAGCAGAGCCACCCATGGGCTGAGGGCTTGGCTGGTTTCAGCAGTGATCACAACCCACACCAGAAAGGGGAACACAGGCATAACAATGACAAAGCAAAAAGGCACAAAAACAATGACTCAGACAAGTTGTGTGACTTATTTTTATGTCATGTCAGGTGATGGTGGAGGAGAAAGTATGTGCTTGTGAAAGGCAACTCTGTCTTTCTAAGGGACAGGGCTGGGGAAGGATCGTGGACCTCTGGAGATGGAGCTAACCTCAATGGAGGAGCCGTGAGACCCAGGCTCTGCTCTTTCCCCGAGACAACACATGACTTAGGCCAGAGTCCACCTCTTGTCTTGCTTTGGTCTCCTTAACCTAAAGCAAGAGTTGTGTTACAGAAGCATCAGCACGTCCTGGGTCTTTCATCACCTCATCACTGACCTACATGATGGGTGCAGACCCCTAACTCTGCGTTACATATAAGGACATTTGTGCTACTCATTGCAGCACGCCCTTTCCTGGAGCTCAGGTCAAAGCCAGGGTGGCCTTTCCTCTTGCAACCCACAGATACTGGGTGCTGAGCCAGTTTCAAAATCTGTGCTTGTATTTAGGGGCTTATGAAAAACCCAACCTTATGGACAAAGTGCTTGTGAAAAACCCAGTACCCCTGTCTGCTTAGCAGCACAGCTGGGAAAACCTGAGTTTCTGGTTCTGACGTTTGTTGTCATGTTCCCTAAAAGTCAGTTTTGTCACAGAAACAGGAGGTTTTCACAAGGTGCCATTTACTGCAGTTGCATGGTGGGGAATGTCCCTAGAGTAAGAGCAAAGTGTTTAAGAAAGGGGAAGTGGCACTCAGTGCATTGCTTGTCTCTCTGAGCGCACAGCTAAGATGATTATGGTCACTTGCCTGCTCCTCTCCTGCGTCTGGACCACTGCTCCAGGTAACTCCCTTGTCTGTCTGGGTGTCTGTGTCATTATCCTAACAGCGTTAGGGACCTCAGTGGCTGTGCCAGCCTCCTTCTATGCTGCTGGGTGCTGCAGTTCCCACTTTGCACCCTCCTGGAGCAAACCCAGTGATTACACGGCACTTGTGGCACTATACTACTTACCTTGGGCTCAGGCATGTCACTGCTGCTTGCCTTGACAGCATCCACTTCTTAATTTAGCACCATTGCACCATAAATTCCAGAGAGATGTATAAAGGTATTGTGATGGGCAGATTACAAAGCAGGCAAACCATGCTTGTAGGTATCTGCTCAGGCCACCAAAAGCATGGATGTATTACTGGTTTTGTATTTAAAAATCATGTAGAAAAGGCTGAATTAGTTTCAAACTAGCTTCCATGATCATGGTTTGTAGTCTGTCTATGGCACTGCTGAGATCCAGAAAGCAAAGTGACTGGCACCGCTTGATGACTGGCTTCTTGGTCTTTGATGGAAATCTGCCTGGCTATGGTCACAGCCAGAATCTCAGAGCACTTTCTTGAGTGGGTTAGCCTAGTGTACCTCTGGGCACTGCAGAGAGCCTCACCTTCTCTGCAAAGATATTTCCCTTTCTTGTAAATTGAATTATGTTTTCAGTGCTGCAACTGTTACTGCTGATATCTCTCTTCCCATGCTGACATGCACAAAGAAACTTTGAAAATTACTATGCCAAGAGAACTGTTGAGCTGAGCTGTCAGCTTCACCTTGCCTGTACCCTTAACAATTTTTTCATGTCTATGAATTGGAAGAGGAGACTGATTGTTTTCTTTTTTTCCCTGGAGACTTTTAATACCAAGGCATTTATGCTGTGCAAGTTTTCTCCCTGTGGGCCATCAGTAGGGTCTCTTCTGCAGCGCTTTCTCAGCAGCATGACTTCAATGCTGAGATAAGAGGACAGATGTAGTTTGCCTCAGGTTCTCCCTGAGAACCCTTCTTGCTTTTTTCTTCTAGTTTTCTGATCCTTGCCAATCTCTGACAAGTGTGAATACATGATGTATGTATAGTGAGACACATAAAAATTTTTAGCATTTTTACTGATTTGCTACACCCCCTGCCACAGGAGGGCTAAGAGGGTGGTATTGGGCCAACAGCTGTTTGGTTGTCAGCATGGCTGAAAGTTTAGGGAATCTCTCTGTGGGTGCCCATGGGATAGGATTCCTAGAAGACAAATCAGTGGCTCCCAACACCAGAACTGCCTTTCTCAGTGGTGCTCTCTGCAGCATAGTTATCAGGCTAACAAAATGCTTGGTGTGAGAGGTGGCAGGCCCAGTGAAACTCTCTGGGTAGTTCTTTCAAGCTGCATTTTCAACTTTTCCCTAGATGGAGGGATAGAGAAATCCTCCAGAGTTGCTCTGCTTGGAAATGAAGGTGAGGGGCTGCAGGGGCCTTTGCTGGGGTTGGGCTGCAGAAGAGTGTGAGAAATGCTGAGTGTGGCATCTGCTTCTCCCCCAGCCTCTGTGCAGGTGACAAACAGAAAGGTCCAGTCAGTCCAGGCGGGAGGAAATGTTACTTTTTCATGCCGGTCAGTCACGAAAGAAGATGTGATACAGGTGACATGGCAGAAGGAGATGGATGGGGCTGAAGACAACATAGCAACTTACAGTACGATGAATGGCCAAAAAATAGCCAAGGCCTATGTAAGCCACATGAGTTTTGCCCACAGCGAGTTACAAGCCTCAGCCATCTCCCTTCATGGAGTCACCCTCCAAGATGAAGGATGCTACAAATGCATCTTCAACACATTTCCCTCGGGGGCTGTCACTGGCAGGATGTGTCTCAATGTTTATGGTAAGCCACTGTGATTTTGTATGGGTGCTCATCTGAGGACCAAGTCATTTTTCCTGTGAAAAACCCTCCCTAACATTGCTACATTGATGCAGCAAAAATGGTTCTCCCTGGCTCTCTTCCTCTCTGGTTTTACCTCTGATGGGAAACCAGCATTCAACAGTTCTTTAATTTTCTTCCCTTTCAAGTCAGCAACAGCAAGATTCAAAACTGATGTGTAACTCATGACTTCCTCCAAGTTTCCCTGGCCCTGTGCTGTTCTGACAGCTCCCTGGCCACAGCCATGAGCCCCGTGCTCCTCTGCTTCCTTTCACCGCTGCTCTCACCCCCTAATCCTGGAAATCACACAATTTTTTACTTGCTTTGCATTTGGTTGTAAATAATTGCACAGTATTCAAAATACAAAGAGGCACATGCATTACCAGAATAGCTGGAAGCTCATTTTGAAGCTAGAGGAAAAAGGAAGGCTGAAATACTGTACAGCTCATGAGATTTGACACATGAATATCTGAATATCTTGAGCAGGTCAGCATCAACTAGCTTAAAGAAGAGAGTTGAAACAAATAATGAGTAAAGATGGCAATATTTGTCACCTCCATATGAAATCATCAACTTGCAAGTGCAACATGAAATAAAGACTAATAGACTAATAGATGAACGCAAAATAACTAAGAGTAACAAGCTGCTTATCTTTTGAGGAAAGCTGCTGGTTTTGTCCAGCTGAGAAAGCTGAGACATTAAACATGCTCTGACAACACCCTGTTGGCTCTTAGCTTTCTCAGGGATGAGACTGCTGTGGGGAAACTGGCCAAAGATTATATTCCATGTGATGAGTATCAGTGTTTGTGCCCTGTCACTGGTGATATGACCCCTGCAGAGTATTTTGTTTATTCCTAGTACCTTCTGCTGACAAAGACATGGATACATATGACCACACACATCTCTGGAGTCCTCTGTGTGGAGAAAGGAAGTTCCTAACTTATAGGGGAAAGGAGGTGGTGGTGAAAAATACAAGGGAAAACCAAGTCTGGAACAAAATTTCTTTTCCACCTATTTTGGGAAAACTAGGGCAGAAAAGAGAAATGAGGAGAAATTCTTGCAGTATTTCATATATGAAGAGGAAAATTCCTAAAGAAAGCCAGTTCTGAGTCATTCAGAGGGTTAGCACTGATTATACATTACAGGAAAAACATGGAAGTGCCTTGCAGAGGGATCTCATTCTTTTAATCACATAAATCTAAACATTGAGATTTCTTTTGGGTTTGGGTTTTGGTTTGATTTTTTATTCTATCCAAGTGGAGGAAGTCTCTCCCAAACTCACCAACCTTTTGGCTATGTTTCATCCTCCACCAGAGCACTAATTCTAAAAAAAACTAAAAGGGATGTTTTTCTACTGCCTCAGATGAAAACGCATCAACTGAGAAGGGTTTAACTTCTCTCGTAGGCTCATAGGTCACTGCCAGAGGCTGCCTCACCGAGGTCATGGTAGCCTTCCTGTAATGCGCTGTATCAAACCAGCCCTGGAGGGTCACCATGAACAAACTGAGCACTTGGCACTTTGACAGCAGGTTTTAGTTCATATATGGTTATGGCATTGAAGCTAATTTATATGATGCTACTTAAAAGCCACAGTCTTGCTCTTTACACCCTAATTCCTAACAATGGGAACAACTTGTCTGAACAAGCCCAGAGGTTGCGCCATGAGGGAGAGTGAAGCCAGCAGGAATCTCCCAAGGCTCAGAGGTTCAGGGCAGGGTGAGCAAATCAAAGTCACCAGTTGATAATTAAACGCTGCCATGTCTTTGCCCACAAGAGGGGACTACCAGGGGGTTTACGAGCTGGTAATTGCCCGATTACTGCAGCCTTAGCAAGCGCGGCTGTTCTGGGACAGGATGGGCACCATCGCCGCGTGATGAGGGGAAGTGAAACCATGTGAGAACTAGATACAACACTGTAATAAAAAAACAACATATATGATTGGCAGGATGTCAGACCTGCCTGGCTGAAAACCCAGGAAGAAGCAGAAATGTCCTACCCTGTAGCAAAATCCATTTCAGAACAGAATAGTTTCAAGCAAGCTTAGTGGGTCTCTTTTGAGCAGTCTGCTGTGTTCCCCCTTCATTTTACTTTGGAAATATTTTGCCAAACTTCATTGTCAAAGAGGATGAGAATGAAATCCAGGAGGAGAATTGAGGGAGAGGTATAGAGAGAAGGGAATGTGCCACATGAGGACAGGCAAGACTCGCTGAGTCACAAAATTCCCTGGACATTTGCTGTGCTGACTTTGGAGACCACCTGCCTTCACTGTAGATGGCAACATTTGTCTGGAAGTCTTGAGCCCAGCTGAAAAAATGCCATTGCAATTTCTGAGACAGGGAAACCAAGGCACAGTACTGCTGGTGAACACCCATTTGGTTTGAAAAAGCATTCTGTAATCTTGAGGCATACTGTGATTCCTACAATCTTTTATAATTCTCTGTAACACCACTGCTAAGCCTTTAAACATAAAAAAGCATATGAATCAGGTCATTATATGCTTTTTATGTTTAAAGGCTTAGCAGTGCCTAATTTCCTCTAATTACAGAAAGCCATTACAGATTAAGTTATTTTCAAATATTTGGGAATGCTGACAGGGCTCAAATTTGGGAACGTCTGCAATACTGATCTGCAAGAGAAACTAAAGCAAGTACTGGCACACAATATCTCAGGTGAAGACTTTTTCACTGGAAACAAATATTTTGATGAAAGGCAAAAGAAGCAGTTAAATGTATGCATCAAACCTGAACAGCCAGCACATACTAGCAAACAGTGTAGCAGGTCTTTCCTGCAAAAGCAAGCACTTACAAGTTTTGACAGTGCATCTATTACATTTGCTAGACATTTGCTAGAGAGAAGCTCAGCCCTACAGGATCATTCATTGGGGTCCATTGTGAGAAGAGAGAACTGCTTAGTCAGAAGAAGAGCAGGCACGGAGTGCATGTGTTTCTGGCAAGACACTGAGTTTTTTTCATCCTCTGTGGTAACATCTGTGGCTTCTCCCCGTGATTGCTTGTGAATTTTGCAACCTAATATTTGAAGTTAATGCTGTGGGTGGATATGTTATTTTTATGCATCCCGTGAGTGAAAGAAGTTCAGAGATAATTTATTAATCAAAACATAAATTGTTTGTGACACTAGTCTTTTCATACCTGGGAGATTTTGAGATGTTCCATCTGAAATCCCCCTAAACACTTTCCTTCTTTTTCTTAGAGGTTTCAGCAACTCTGTTGGTTGAGTTTTTGTCTATGGTTGATGCAAAAAGTGAGAAATACAAGTTTATTTTTTCTATGCTCGCACAGCCATAGTAAGTAAATGAGGTCAGGCTTGTAAAAAAAATCAAACAACAAACAAAAAGCAACAAAATTGTTGGTATACAAAGTCTTGCTTCTACCTTCTAAGCAGTTATGGCTTGGAAGACACAGACAACTTTTTGAGGTGCATCTGGAATTGTATCAGGAGGTTATATGTGCCATTACACATCTGGCATGCTCCTTTTCCCCTTTTTGCAGTATCTGCTACACCTTACAGGCAAATCTTTGTTTGCCTCACAAAAGGAAAAATCGTTATTTTTCCTAAGAAGAATGAAAAGAACTTTTGTTTGCTCATTTAAAAGCAGAATTGCTAAATTATAGAGGTATGTTCTAGTGTTGGGATAAAAATTAATTTTAGCATACATATTGCTCTTACCACAGTTATTTTTCTTATGTAAGTAGTAATATACACATGGAGTTCTACTAATTATAGCAGTGGATGCTTTTTTTAAACAGAGGGCATTCATGGTAATTCAGACTTGATTGAAAGTAGAATTGCCACTGAACTTAAATGCTTGAAAAAAGCAATATTCTCAGAAACAGAGACCTAGAAGTAGAGTGTGATTTAGACCCCTATTCCATCAGCACTGAAGTAGAAGGCAGGCTGGTGAGCTGCCATGCACAAACCCATGGATTGCACTCCCAAATTACACACCTTTATAGATATTGTGCCTGTGAAAACTGACCTTATCAAACTGAGCAGAGGCTTGAATTAGACATTCTCCTAAAGTCCCTTCTGACCTAAATTATGGCATGATTTTATGCCAAGGGATTTTATTAATTTTTAATTTTATGCCAATGGATAAGTAGGCTTCTTGTTTGTGAGTTAGCATAAATGATGCCTGTAGTTCATCCTTTTTCCAGACTAAAATTAAATGTGACAGTATCCACAAATGTTCTGGAGTGAGAGTGTTCAAAGAAGTGATCTTTCATGATAGTTTTGAGTGATACTATGACACATCCAAAACCCATTTACAAGAGGAAACAAAGTTGTACAATCACAAACCCTCCACAGGTGAAATCCCATGGTGTAACCACATACAAATTCACTATTACTGTCTTGCATAAATAGATGCACTTAGTCCTTTGATTTGCAACTCTACGCACCTCAACAGCAAAAATGCTAAACAGCGGTAAAGCCAACCCTGCAGGTAATTTTAAAGGGAAATAATTCTAACTCATTTAAGCAGTTCAGCTCTTTCAGAGAGAAAAGGACATATGACTTCACAGTTTCACTGCCTTCTGCTTTTAACTCAGACATAATCACCACTTCTCAGCTGAGAGGCTGCTGCTAGTAACAGAACTGAAACAGATGCTTCCACCCTTTTGCCCTTTCTGTTGTCCAGCTCTTCACTTCCAGACTGCTGTCTGATCACCTTCATATTTATTTGTCACTGCTGGGGCTTTGCGAAGGGGGAGCTAAGAGTAGATATCTTTTCCTCCAAGATAACTGTAAATACAGATGCTCTTTGCTCAAACATAGGCAGAAACTAATGAACTTTGTTACTTTTGTCGTTGTTACTTTTGTTTTTTACAGCCATCTCGGACCCCAGAGTGGAAACTAAGCTTATATCCACTCCAGACAAAGCTGAGGACTCTGAGAAAATGGTGGGGATGAGCTGCTCAGCAACAGGGAAACCAGCTCCAAAAATAACCTGGCACCTCCCCAGCATCCTGCAGCAGAAACCAAGGGAGTATCGCATAAAGTTCAGCAACCAGACCGTGACTGTCATCAGTAATTTTACCCACACCCACTCCAAAATCCTTCAGGAGTACCCCATCACCTGCATGATCCAACACCCTTCTCTAAATGTGACCCTGGTCCTTCCCACAGACAGCCTGGAGCAGGGTCAGTATGTAACTCTGCTCCTGCTGTGGAGTAGGGCAGAAATTGGGAAGAACCTCCTGGGGCAGAATCAGAAAACTCCTCAGAGGGTTGCAAGGTGGGGAAGGCACCTGGAAGACCAGCTGTGGCTGGGCTTGGGAGGGATGGAGGAGGTGCCATGGAACATCCAGATGCCCTGGCCAATGGCACATAATGTCTTACTGCTCCTCAGGTCCCCTTACCCACCATGATGTGCCCCAGCCTCCCTGTCTCTGTGAAGGACTATTTATGACAGGGTTCCCTGTCACGTAACGTGACAAACCAAGACATGGTTTGTCTTGGTACCAAGCACTGGGTAGCTCAGAGGGGCTGGGTTCTACATGCCTGACCTTAACATCAGAACAAGCACAGGTCTGCTGGCAATGCCACTTGTGTGCATCATGCTGGAATGTTCTCCCAGTGCTCTTATCCACCCCATTTCACCCCAGGGAATGGCCAAGGGATGCTTGAAATGGGTTTCAGGTTTTTTTTTTTTTTTTACTTCATGCACAAACTGAGTACCTGCTGCTTTCCCTACAGGTCCAGACAGCAGCATGGCACTGGCCATTGCCATTGCACTGGGGGTCCTAGTCCCCCTGACCTCCCTTCTCCTTCTCACCTGCCTCTTCTACCGCTGCCTCAGGCACCTACATGACCCAGAGAGAAACCCAACCTGGCCCTGCTGGGTAGGTCTGCCTTTCCTCAGGGTGCTGCCAAATTCACCCCCACAGGTCTTGGAGTTCAATACCATGACCTGGCTCTGCCCAGCCACACCAGGGCTGCCTGCACACTGCCCAAGCCAGGCTGAAACTGGGCTGGAGTGGCACACAGGAATGAGCCCCCACCAGACAGCTGGGAAGGGGAAACCTGATTGTGTATAGCCAGCCTACATGCGCCCAAGAGTGCTGGCAGCTGGAAAACATTCACTGTGCAGTGGGAGCATCACTCTACTATCATGTTTGTGCACATAATAGTTGTGTAAGCAGAGGCCAAACCCTTGCACGGGTCTTCTGCAGCTCCTAAAATAACCTCCCTCAGCACAACCAGTGCAGCTCATGAAGGTAGCAACTTTTGAGGATGGGCCTCAAATAAAATGTGGTTTTAGAGGAAAACCATGCCTCTGTGAGGGAAGCCCAGGGTGCCACGGTGGGGCGTGGGCTGAGGCACTGCTGTTTGTACACCAAGGCTATCCTAGTGCAGAGAGTGCAGGATACAAGCTTGAGGTGGAGATAAACTGAAGTGGCATAGTTTCAGAAAATCACAGCCCAGTTTTGTGAAGTCTCCTCATCCTCCTTGCAGTACATACCTAGCATGTGCACCCTGGATTCTGGTGAACATTTTGGAGAAAAAGAAGCAGTGGAGGAAATGCAACCTATGTCTTAGTGTACACCTCTAGGTCCAACCTGAAGACTGCTGGTGGGATTGCAAGGGGAAAATTTTAGTCTCCCCTCACAAAGAGATGCAAGGACTCACTTGGCAATACAAATATCCAGGATCTTTACCCTCACACTTAAAACATCCATATATTTTGAAGAGATAAACACAACAACCTCTCTTTCCTCAGGTACTTCCTGCCTGCAACAAGGCCAAGAAGTGCAGGCAGTACGGAGCTGCAAGCAGGTGGGCTCCTGCAGTGTCCCACAGCCTTGGTGCGCCACTGAACACCTGAGAACTACACATGCAAGAGAGAAACTCTTCAAATGGCACCTCAAGCTTCCAAGAAAACCTCCTGTGACTTTCTCCAAGATAAATATAAAAAGGGACAATTTATAATATATATATATATATTATTTTATTAGGCTATAATACTATGTTTCATAAGAAAAAAATGTAAAGTATTTATTTGAAACTCATGCTGGCTGCATCCACGCATAGTGGAACTCATGTATTTTTGGGCCTTTTAACATTGTTGATTACTGTTTGATATTTTAACATTGCAAACTCAAAAGTGGATGGGGGATTGTCTGAAACAAGGCAACATTTTGCAAGGCTGCTGGCTTGAAAAGTGTTGCTGATGGACCAAATGTGCCCCTTACCAGGAGCTGGGCTATAGAAAACCTGTGGAACAGCCCAGCACACTGCTCTGAACTTCAGATGTTGAACTTGTTCCCTAAAGGGCACAAGAGATCAGGCCAAGACTGCAGCCAGCCTGAACTTATAACCCAGGCACCAGGAGTAACAGGCTTCAAGCCAAGAGTCATGAGGAAGTGCCAAGTTCAATTTCCAGTAACCTCTCCTGGAAAGCAATTTAAAAGGCACATAAATGTTTCCTTCTTTCTCAGGGCTTTTCACAGCCCCCTTCTTAATATACCTGATCTATCACAGCTGCCTTGTGTTTCCTGGCATCCCACCGAGCTGCAGGAGGAAGCAGGGCAATAAAAGGGTAGTTGCAGGGTTAGTAGGTTGTCCGGTGCATTTTGTTTGTGTCCTGGTGTAGTGGCAGGTGAGTGCAGTGGGAAGCAAAAGGCTGGTAGGCCTGAGGAGGTGGGTGCTTTATTTATTTCCATGTGGGCAGATAAGAACCAATGCAGGACAAGGGGTGTTCCCTGTTCTGACTACACTTTGCTTCTAAGCAGTGAGTCAGATCTGAGCTGTAATCTCCTGTAATTCCCTGAATTGCATATATGCTCATGAAGTCTTTGACTTAGAGAAGGAGAAATGAGCCCACCTGGCTCATGCTGGTCTTGTGGGAAGCCACCAGTGCAGGCTGCTTCCTCTCATTCTGGCTTCCCAGAATAAATGCATGCAATCTGGTTTTTCCTCATCCATGTATTTCAAATGGGCATCCCACGTGAATCACTAAATCGTAGTCAAAAAGCCAAGTGAACTAATATGAAAGTGAGTTGAGAATGAGTAAACCTGGTTTTTTGCTATAAAATACTTCTTTTAAACCCCCCTAATGCCTAGAAATAGCACAGTTGGTGAGTGAGGGGAAAGAGGAACTGGCTGCAGCTGTTACAATTGGGGTTTTTTCTCCATAGCCCCCTAACTGTCAGAGGAGGAAGCAATGGTTTGTCCAGACTTTTCCACCATTGCTGCTTCGTTTCTTCCTCGATGAGGGAAGAGGCCGGGGAAGAAGAGTTTCCCCTGGGTTTGTGGAGGGTGGGAATGGGATGGAAAGCCCCTGGCACCCTTCTTGAGCAGGCTGTGTGGCCATAGCCCTTGCCATTCTGCAAACTCTGCACTTGCAATTTAGAGCAGTTTGAGTTTTAACATGAGGTTTCTGCTAGTGTTTAGACTGAGGTTTTGTTATTTGTTTTGTTGTTTTTTTTCTTTTTAATTAAAAAAAAATCACTTGCAGAAATGGGGAGTTTAGACATGGGTAAAGAAAAGGATTTCCTGAGGGAAGAGAGAAAGGCACAATGCCAGTGAGAAATCTATTCAAACCCAGGAAAATGGTAGTGATTATCTCTTATTGTTTTCTACAAGCTGATCGTCTGAAGTGTGGGAAAGCAGGGCTTGGAGTCATGAAAGTATCTGTTCATGTCTGGATTTGTAGTTTCTTTTACTTTTTAGCTGAATGGAGAAATGTTTAGAGCTTTTAGAGGTTTCTGATTATAAGCATGATTGATCCAGCAGCTGGATGAGGGATGCAACGGCTTACAAGTAAATTTCTGTACAAGATTTATTTTTCATTCACGAAATTAGAATGAGAACATGACATCCAGTCACAGAACACTTAAAACCAATACATGTACTTACCTTCATGCTATACAAAGCCATCTGCTAAGATGCAGTACCATAAAATCCTCTGTGCTACTGCTGTGGTGTTTGATTTCACATAGCAGTGAAATGAATACAAGAATACAGACTATGGATAATTAAGTGGCTGATAGCTATGGGGCAAAAAAAGAACATGAAATAGATACAAACCATCTTTTGTGGAACAAACAAAAGCATGACTGAGGGAATCAGAAGTTTGATTACAAATGATGAACATCCTCACTGCTGTTATGAGATTTCTTTGTAATTAGCTTGTGCATGTCTGTCCAGTTACTTCTGTTAAAAATTTGTAAGAATTCCTTGGAAGTTATATTCAAATCAGTTTATACAGATACCTAGTATTTGTTTTAATAAATGTGTGATTTTAATAAACGGGTGGGTTTGATCCCCAACACCTTTTTCTTGATGTGGCCCTGCATGGCTGTAGGTGGAGGTGGTAGGTGAAATTGGTACGGAGCTTGAAATAAGAAATAGAAATAAAACTGTTAGGATGCAAGCAAATTTAAGTGAAGTGGACTGCTTTATTTTTCTGCTCCAATACAAGGGATATGAAGCAGATTAACTTTGTAAGTAAATGGAAGCAGACCATACTTTTAAAATAAATTCTACAGGAATGTTCTGAGCTACTACTACTACCACCACAAAAACATAAAAATAAAAAACAAACAAACAAAAAAGCTCAGGATTTTTGCCTGTTTTGAAGCTGGGCAGTTGTCAGTCTCACCCAACTCGTCTTTGACCACTATGTGCTACTGCATTTTGTCCAGCCTCAGGACAACTAGTATTGATGCAGGGTATAATTTCTCCTAACTGATGGAAAAAGGGCAAGAGGGAATGCCACCTTCCTGCTTGCCTCTTACTTAGATAAAACTGGTTTTGAGTTATGTGTCTCTCTTTATAAAGCAAATGTAGCCTGCATCTCTCAACTTTGGGATCCTTTGACCCTGACATTAGCCGGTTTGGGTTAAGATATTAACTCATGTAAGCATCCTTTTAAACAGTTGAGATAGATAAAATAAAGTCTCTTCAGGCTGTATAAAATGTCCATGCTTCTGTTCTGGCATGCCAAGCTATTTCAGAGGTATATTATGTTGGTATTTTTCTCTGCCTAGATACTGGGCTCCTGGTTCTAAGAGAGCAGTAAGATGCAAGCAAATTGACCCCAACAGCTCTGGCAGAAGATGTGACTTTGAAAAGTAGCTCAAATGTTTGTCTTAGGTATTTTACAGGCACTGGCTGAAATAGGAAAAATATTCTTCTTTTGAAACCAATGCTGGCAGAGGCATGCGACTAAGTTTGTTCAGTGAAAAGAAACTTTGTTTTGGTTATAGACCTTTGAAAGCATCATTCATCAATTCTCTTTTGTGTGACCCTGGGGGAATGATTCATCTAAATACCACACCAGTAAATTTTCTTATTAAATCAGACATGGAAGAAAATATAACCCATTGTTTTTCATTCAGTTTTCAGCAATGAGCCCTTGGAAATCAGCTGAAACAAGAGAATTGCACTAATTGATTGCATTTTTATCTTTTATAAATGAGACTATCAAGCCAGCCAGATACAAGTCACGTGTATTTTTGTTTTTACTCTCAGTACACCAGAAATTGCTCATGTTTTTGGAAGCCATACAAAGGGCCTTCTCATAGCTCTGCTGCTTTCACCTTAGGACATATAAAGCTATGTGTGAAAGGAGCACTGAATACTAGTCCAACTCTTTGTGGATGGACTCTGTTGCAGTCTGCTCAACTTTGAGAAAAGCTGCCTGAAATTTCTGGGAAGCCTGAAAGGATCCTCAGTCTGAGACCCCTATACAATACAGAGTTTTAAATTTCATAATATGTCAGAAGCTGTGGTCCTTAACCACCGCAAGGAAAAGGCAGCTTTGTCTAATAAAAGAGCACTTGAAATTGTACATGAGAGGCTAAGATGAAAACTTTGCAGAAAAAAACCCTACACTTCTTGGTAAAAAAAAACCAAACAACAAAACAAACAATAACCACCAACTCTTTTTTTTTCCCAATCAGAATATTTTATTTGATATTATCCTTTAGATAAATTACAGAAAGCCCGTGTCTCATCCTAAACACCCACGCTTACATTTCAGTTTAAATAAATCAATTTGCCTTAAGCCTTCCTTGTTTATAG